GAAGGTAACTGGATTGTGATTTGCAAACCAGCAGCCAGACTCTGCCTCCCCTTACACTCCTGCTGCTGTGCTGACCTGGAGCCTGATCCTGTTTTCTGGTGTTTTAATGATGGTTTATGTCATGCGCTTTGATCGCAGCTTCCACCTGAGGATCCAAAGCCTATACAAATAGTGGTGTCTGTAGCCTCGTCACAGGCCCCTGGGAAGTGGGGACACCCCATCATACAGATGAGGAAATGGAAGCACTGAGTGGGTGGGTGAGTTGCCCAGGGTAGCAGAGCTGAGAGTAGGATTCAGGAGAGTCAGGTTCTACTCTGCTGCCCTGGGCAAGTCGCCCCTCCACACACCAGGAAGAAGGATGGGGCTGTGCATAATCCCTGTGTGACGCTCTGTACCTCAGGGGAACACCCTAACCCCCAAGTTCATCTTTATAAAATGATTGTGTGGTATCCAATGCAAAGTTTGTCATATTGGGTGTCTTCGGAAGGCTCATAATGCACTGAGCATGGTAGTTATAGTGATGTTATAGTAATTGTTACAGTAATGTTATAGTAAGGTTATAGGTTATAATTTCATGTATATAGTTATGAGGCTGAAAATGTATCCTCATGGTTTAAAGCAAGCCCATGCAAAAACTCTCCAAGAACTGAGAGGCAGTTCACGCCTCATCAGGGCATGGATGGGACAAACCCAGCCCAGCCTCACAGGAACAATGGACACTGTTTTAGGCAGCGACAAAATAATCTGTTAGACCCTTGAGGAAGTCACCCCATTCCTTTGGGCAGTTTGGGACTGCAGTGAGGTAATGCTCACCTGACTCTGAAGGGGAGGAGCAGGGCAAAGCCAAGAGGAAAGCAAGGACATGATAAAAGGGAGAGACATTTTGCCATGCTCTCTCTCTTCCACCTACATCTATAGACAGCACAACCACCAAGCGACTGAACCACAGATCAAAGGGGAGAGCCTGGCTGAAAAGCCAGCCTTGTGATGAGAAGCATCTAAGTTTGTAAGGACATTGAAAGTGTTAAGATCAGCTTAGAATGTGTTTTGCTTTTATTTCATTTCACCAAATCTGACTTGTTATTCTTTGACTTATAATAATAGAATATCAGTGTTGGAAGGGACCTCAGGAGGTCGTCTAGTCCAACCCCCTGCTCAAAGCAGGACCAATCCCCAACTAAATCATCCCAGCCAGGGCTTTGTCAAGCCTAATCTTAAAAACTTCCCAGGAAGGAGATTCCACCACCTCCAAACAAACCCTTCTTGTTACTCTTAACCATCCCTTGCTAGTTGCAACTCCAGTTGTGATTTGGCCTTCCTGATTTCACTCCTGCATGCCTGTGTAATATGTTTATACTCCTCCCTGGTCATTTGTCCAAGCTTCCACTTCTTGTAAGCTTCTTTTTTGTGTTTAAGATCAGCAAGGATTTCACTGTTAAGCCAAGCTGGTTGGCTGCCATATTTACTATTCTTTCTAGATGGTTTGTTCCTGCAACCTCAGTAAGGATGCTTTAAAATACAGCCAGCTCTCCTGAACTCCTTGCCCCCTCATGTTATTCTCCTAGGGGATCCTGCCCATCAGTTCCCTGAGGGAGTCAAAGTTTGCTTTTCTGAAGTCCAGGGTCCATATTCTGCTGCTTTCCTTTTTTCCTTTTGTCAGGATCCTGCACTCGACCATCTCATGGTCATTGCCTCCCAGATTCCCATCCACTTTTGCTTCCCCTACTAATTCTTCCCGGTTTGTGAGCAGCAGGTCAAGAAGAGCTCTGCCCCTAGTTGGTTCCTCCAGCACTTACACCAGGAAATTGTCCCCCCACACTTTCCAAAAACTTCCTGGATTGTCTGTGCACTGCTGTATTGCTCTCCCAGCAGATATCAGGGTGATTGACGTCCCCCAGGAGAACCAGGGCTTGAGATCTAGTAACTTCCGTTAGTTGCCTGAAGAAAGCCTCGTCCACCTCATCTCCCTGGTCCGGTGGTCTATAGCAGACTCCCCTGTGACATCACCCTTGTTGCTCACACTTCTGAACTTAATCCAGAGACTCTCAGGTTTTTCTGCAGTTTCATACTGGAGCTCTGAGCATTCATAGAATCATAGAATCATAGAATATAAGGGTTGGAAGGGACCCCAGAAGGTCATCTAGTCCAACCCCCTGCTCGAAGCAGGACCAATTCCCAGTTAAATCATCCCAGCCAGGGCTTTGTCAAGCCTGACCTTAAAAACCTCTAAGGAAGGAGATTCTACCACCTCCCTAGGTAACGCATTCCAGTGTTTCACCACCCTCTTAGTGAAAAAGTTTTTCCTAATATCCAATCTAAACCTCCCCCACTGCAGCTTGAGACCATTACTCCTCGTTCTGTCATCTGCTACCATTGAGAACAGTCTAGAGCCATCCTCTTTGGAACCCCCTTTCAGGTAGTTGAAAGCAGCTATCAAATCCCCCCTCATTCTTCTCTTCTGCAGGCTAAACAATCCCAGCTCCCTCAGCCTCTCCTCATAACTCATGTGTTCCAGACCCCTAATCATTTTTGTTGCCCTTCGCTGGACTCTCTCCAATTTATCCACATCCTTCTTGAAGTGTGGGGCCCAAAACTGGACACAGTACTCCAGATGAGGCCTCACCAATGTCGAATAGAGGGGAACGATCACGTCCCTCGATCTGCTCGCTATGCCCCTACTTATACATCCCAAAATGCCATTGGCCTTCTTGGCAACAAGGGCACACTGCTGACTCATATCCAGCTTCTCGTCCACTGTCACCCCTAGGTCCTTTTCCACAGAACTGCTGCCTAGCCATTCGGTCCCTAGTCTGTAGCTGTGCATTGGGTTCTTCCGTCCTAAGTTCATATTGCTCTCTTACATACAATGCAACTCCCCCAACTTTTCTGCCTTGCCAGTCCTTCCTGAAGAGTCTATATCCATCCATGACAATACTCCAGTTCATAGATTCATAGATACTAAGGTTAGAAGGGACCATTATGATCATCTGGTCCGACCTCCCACACAATGCAGGCCACAGAATCTCTCCCACCCACTCAGTTATGTGAGTTATCCCACCAAGTCTCTGTGAATTCCTTGACTGTGCCAGGAATTCCACTTCTCCCTGCTCGTTTCCTAGGCTTTTTGCATTTGTGTGTAGGCACTTAAGATAACTTGCTGATCGTCCTACTTTCTCAGTATGAGGCAGGAGTTCTCCCCTCTTCTGCTCTCCTGCTCATGCTTCCTCCTGGTATCCCATTTCCCCACTTACTTCAGGGTTTTGGTCTCCTTCCCCCAGTGAACCTAGTTTAAAGCCCTCCTCACTAGGTTAGCCAACCTGCTTGTGAAGATGCTCTTCCCACTCTTTGTTAGGTGGAACCCATCTCTGACTAGCAATCCTTTTTCTTGGAACACCATCCCATGGTCAAAGAATCCAAAGCCTTCTCTCCGACACCACCTGTGTAGCCATTCACAATTCGACGGTCTCTACCTGGGCCTTTTCCTTCCACAGGGAGGATGGACGAGAACACCACTTGTGCCTCAAACTCCTTATCCTTCTTCCCAGAGCCACGTAGTCTGCAGTGATCTGCTCAAGGTCATTCTTGGCAGTATCATTGGTGCTCACGTGCAGCAGCAGGAAGGGGGAGTGATCTGAGGGCTTGATGAGTCTCAGCCAATTTTCTTCACCGTCCTTCTGTCCCCACTGCGCAGCCTGCTCTGATTCCTCAGAATGTTGTGCCCGCAGAAGCATATCCTGACGTCTGTCCAGGAAACCTTCATTTTCTCTTATGCAATGCAGGGTTAATACTTGTTTCTCCAGTCCTTGAACCTTCTCTTCCAATATGGAGACCAGCTTGCACTTTGTGCAGACAAAGTCGCTTCTGTCCTGTCGAAGAAAGACAAACATGGTACATCTTGTGCAGGTCACAAGAGCTGATCGCTCACCATCCATATTACCTTCCTTCTAAGAGCTTCTTCAGCTGTTGCAGTTATTACTCACAGAAGCATGTAAGATGAAAGCCTCAGTGGGCTCTTCCAAGGTGAACTCCCAGGCAAACTCCCCCTGTTAGCCTCTCTGCTGTTCTACCTTTATAGTTAATAAATCTGTTTGTTTATTCTACCTGAAGCAGTGCATTTGGTTTGCAGTGTGTCAGAGACTTCCCTTAGGAGAACAAGCCTGGTACATATCAATTTCTTTGTTAAATTGACAAACTTATATAAGCTTGCAACGTCCAGTGGACATAACTGGACACTGCAAAATGGAGGTTCCTAGGGTTGTTTCTGGGACCGGAGATACTGACTAGTGTCATTCGCTTGCAAATAGCTGGGAGCAGCTTACATGCCAAAGGCTGTGCGTGAACAGTCCAGGAGTGGGGGTTCTCACAGCAGAGCTGGGTAAGGCTGGCTCCCAGAGTTAAGGATTGGAGTAGCCTAGCAGATCAGTGGTCCAGACAACACCAGAGGGGAATGTCACACCCTATATTTTAAGAACCACTCCATCCGCCTTCCTGGCTTGCAGTGTGAGGTGGAGGTTTGGTGTGTTTTAGGTGCTGGGTATGGGATTGCTGCTGAGTCCTCCTTTCCCATTTCCCACACTGGACTCTGAGGTGTAAATCAGGATAGATCCACAGCATAGTCAGTTATACAGCTAAGGATCTGTTAGCATACGTTGCTTTCATTTGCTGAGCTTGGCAGTTCAGTGACATTTAAAGATGCTCAGAAGACTTTGGGGAAGGGGACACTGAGAGATTAAAATGGTCCTTTGTTGGGGCCATTGTGTAGACACGTTCGTGTATGTGCGTGCCAGACATCACACTCACAAACTGACACAACACCAATATTTACAGGACGCCTTAGAGCTCTGGCTCCAGGGATGTTCTGATTTGCATCAGGAAATCCCCATTGTTAAACTTAGTGTTTCATGTATTTCCTTTTCTCCTTTCACCTCCTCCCTTGTGTCTCGGCATATTCCTCTTTCTGGCCTGCACTTAAAACCTGACGCTATTTTTCCTTCTCCCAGGATGATTTAAGGACCCAGGTGATGAATCTGAACCGTCAGCTGAATGAAATGGCGAGTGACCGGGACCAGACCAGCAATCACATCCTGCAGCTGCAAAAGTTGCTGGCAGACTCTGAGGAAGGCCAGTCATTCTCCTCTTCTCCCTCTGATTCCATAAGGACCTAGGGGTGACGGTGGACGAGAAGCTGGATATGAGTCAGCAGTGTGCCCTTGTTGCCAAGAAGGCCAATGGCATTTTGGGATGTATAAGTAGGGGCATAGCGAGCAGATCGAGGGACGTGATCGTTCCCCTCTATTCGACATTGGTGAGGCCTCATCTGGAGTACTGTGTCCAGTTTTGGGCCCCACACTTCAAGAAGGATGTGGATAAATTGGAGAGAGTCCAGCGAAGGGCAACAAAAATGATTAGGGGTCTGGAACACATGAGTTATGAGGAGAGGCTGAGGGAGCTGGGATTGTTTAGCCTGCAGAAGAGAAGAATGAGGGGGGATTTGATAGCTGCTTTCAACTACCTGAAAGGGGGTTCCAAAGAGGATGGCTCTAGACTGTTCTCAATGGTAGCAGATGACAGAACGAGGAGTAATGGTCTCAAGTTGCAGTGGGGGAGGTTTAGATTGGATATTAGGAAAAACTTTTTCAGTATGAGGGTGGTGAAACACTGGAATGCGTTACCTAGGGAGGTGGTAGAATCTCCTTCCTTAGAGGTTTTTAAGGTCAGGCTTGACAAAGCCCTGGCTGGGATGATTTAACTGGGAATTGGTCCTGCTTTGAGCAGGGGGTTGGACTAGATGACCTTCTGGGGTCCCTTCCAACCCTGATATTCTATGATTCTCTAAGGCTCAGTTGATGCAGCTGGAGCAGACTCTGTCACTGGAACAGCAGGAGCACACAGGATCAGCTGTCCTCTCGTGTCAGAAGGGGCTAGCCCTGCTGGTCAGGCAGAACTGGAGAGGTTCTAATTTGGGATTGAAAAGTGATGCCAGGCAAGCCCTGACCTCATGGCCAGGATGCAGCCATCCCAACCTGAGGGATGGAGGGTGTGTGTGACTAGAAGATTAGCTACAAGTGTAAAGCTACAGGAGCTTGCCAAAAAATGCTCCTGCAACCAGAGCCCAAGAGTTATGTGGTAACAAGCAAGCCACTTCTGCTCTCAGTGCCTCTTTTTGTCCTCCCAGCCTTTATCCATAGGGATTGCAAGCTCCTGACCTTGGGGCAAGGCCAGACTCTCTTTGGCTTCCTGATGTGGTCAGCCCTGCCTTGCTTCATGGAGTCCAGGGCTGGGTTCCTGGCACATGACTTCTTTGGGGTGATATCCCCATGAACTGATGCAGCAACCCTTACATCCAGCGAACTCGCTGTTCACATGTAGCTTGGGGACTTCAGGAGGCTGAGTGATGGCTTGGCTGGATTGCTCCCCCAGCCATCGAAGAGATCCACTGGGGAAGCAGTGCTCTTCTCCCTCCCACAGATCACTGTGGGACAGACCCCCCACTCCGGTCAGAGCCCATTCCTCAAACCCCGCCTCTTCTTTCCCATACCCAGGCAAGCGAGGCATGGACGGGTGCCTGAGCAGTACGCAGATGGCCCTGGCGCTTCAGGAAGAGACCATTCGGAGAATGGAGAGGGAGCACCACGAGTTGGCAGAGCAGATCGCTACCCTGGAGTGCAGCATGCATGCCAGGCAGGAGAGGAACAGGGAGCTGCAGGTGGGTCTGAGCCTGAGAGGAGAAGGAGTAAGAAGTGCATGTTATGGGGCAGCCACCTGTTAGGAAACAGGGAGGGGGAGCACTGTAAAAGTCACCAGTGGAAAGGGAAAGTTATAAGAACGGCCATATTGGATCAGACCAAAAGTCCATCTAGCCCAGTAGCTTGTCTTCCAACAGTGACCAATGCCAGGTGTCCCAAAGGGAATGAACAGAGCAGGTAAACATCAAGTGATCCATCCCTTGTCATCCATTCCCAGCTTCTGGCAAACAGAGGCTAGGGACATCATCCCTGCCCACCCTGGCTAATGGCTATTGATGGACCTATCCTCCATTAATTTATCTAGTTCTTTTTTGAATCTGTTATGGTCTTGGCCTTCACAACATCCTCTGGCAAAGAGTTCCACAGGTTGACCATGCGTTATGTGAAGAAATACTTCCTTTTGTTTGTTTTAAACCTGTTGCCTATTAATTTCATTTGGTGGCCCCTAGTTCTTGTGTTATGAGAAGGAGTAAATAACACTTCCTTATTTACTTTCTCCAGGCCAGTCATGATTTTATAGAACTCAATCATATCCCCCCTTCATCGTCTCTTTTCCAAGCTGAAAAGTCCAAGTCTTATTAATCTCTCCTCATACAGCAGCCGTTCCATACCCCGAATAATTTTTCTTGCCCTTTTCTGAACTTTTCCCAAGTCCAATATATCTTTTTTGAGATGGGGTGACCACATCTGCACAAAGTATTCAAGATGTGGGTGTACCATGGATTTATATAGAGGAATATGATATTTTCTGTCTTATTATCTATCCCTTTCTTAATTATGCCCAACATTCTGTTTGCCTTTTTGACTGCTGCTGCACATTGAGTGGATGTTTTCAGAGAACAATGACTCCAAGATCTCTTTTTTGAGTGGTAACAGCTAATTTGGACCCCATCATTTTATATGTATAGTTGGGATTATGTTTTCCAATGTGCATTACCTTGTATTTATCAACACTGAATTTCATCTGCCATTTTGTTGCCCAGTCACCCAGTTTTGAGATATCTTTTTGTAGCTCTTCACAGTCTGCCTGGGACTTAACTGTCTTCAGTAGTTTTGTATCATCTGTACGTTTTGCCACCTCACTGTTTACCCCTTTTTCCAGATTGTTTATAAATATGTTGAATAGAACTGGTCCCAGTACACCCCTGGGGGAATCACCATTTACCTCTCTCCATTCTGAAAACTGACCATTTATTCCTACCCTTTGTATCCTATATTTTAACCAGTTACCAATCCATGAGAGAACCTTCCCTCTTATCCCATTACTGCTTACTTTGCTTAAGATCCTTTAGTGAGGGAACCTTATCAAAGGCTTTCTGAAAATCTAAATACATTATATCCGCTGGATCCTCCTTGTCCATATGCTTGTTCACCCCCTCAAAGAATTGTAGTAGATTGGTGAAACATGATTTCCCTTTACAAAAGTCAGGTTTACTGGCCTGTGTCATAAACATACAGCTGAGAGTAGCATAAAATCCCTCTATTACCTGTAAAGGGTTAAGAAGCTCAGATAACCTGGTTGGCACCTGACCAAAAGGACCAATAAGGGAAGAAGATACTTTCAAATCTGTGGGGGAAGGTTTTTGTTTTGTGTTTTTTTGTGTTCTCTCCAGGACAGCGAGGAACCAGGGCAGGGAAAATACATCTCCTAAAGCCATACCTGAACTAAGCATCTAAGATTACAAATTGTAAGTAATAGGAAGGAAATGCATTAAATTATCTTTTGTTTTAGCTTGTGAATTTTCCCTAGGCTAAGAGGGAGGTTTATTCCTGGGTTTTTTTTGTAACTTTAAAGTTTTGCCTAGAGGGGAATCCTCTGTTTTGACTCTGATTACCCTGTAAAATTACCTTCCATCCTGATTTTACAGAGGTGCTGCTTTTACTTTTTCTTTATAACAAAGTTCTGCTTTTAAGAACCTGATTCATTTTTAGTGTCCTAAAAACCCAAGGGGCTGGTCTGTGCTCACCTTGTATCTCAAGCCTCCCCAGGAAAGGGGGTGAAGGGACTTGGGGGGATATTTTGGGGAACAGGAACTCCAAGTGGTTCTTTTCCTTGAATCTTTGTCTAATTCACTTGATGGTGGCAGCGATACCGTCCAAGGACAAGGAAGAATTTGTGCCTTGGGGAAATTTTTAACCTAAGCTGGTAGAAATAAGCTTAGGGGGTCTTTCATGCGGGTCCCCACATCTGTACCCTAAAAATTGGCATTATATTAGCTATCCTCCAGTCATTTGGCACAGAAACTGTTTTAAATGATAGGTTAAGACTACAGTTTGTAGTTCTGCAATTTCACATTTGAGTTCCTTCAAAACTCTTGGGTGAATACCATCTGGTCCTGGTGACTTTTTACTATTAATTTATCAATTTGTTCTAAAACCTCCTCTAATGATACCTCAATCTGGGACAGTTCCTCAGATTTGTCACCTAAAAAGAGTGGCTCAGGTTTGGGAATCTCCCTCACAACCTTGGCCATGAAGACTGATGCAAAGAATTCATTTAATTTCTCCACAATGGCCTTATCATCCTTGAGTGCTCCTTTAGCACCTCAATTGTCCAGTGGCCCTGTCAGGGTTCCTTCCCCACTCTGAACTCTAAAATACAGCTGTGGGGACCCGCATGAAAGACCCCCTAAGCTTATTTTTACCAGTTTAGGTTAAAAAATTTCCCAAGGCACAAAATTCGCCTTGTCTTTGAACAGTATGCTGCCACCACCAAGTGATGTAGACAAAGAACAGGGAAAAGACCACTTGGAGTTCCTATTTCCCCAAAATACCCCCCACGCCCTTAAACCTCCTTTCCTGGGGAGGCTTGAGAATAAACAAGATGAGCACAGACCAGCCTTGGATTTTTAACACCCAGAAAACCCAATCAGATTCTTAAAAAACAGAACTTTATTCGAAGAACAAAAAAAGATAAGAGAACAACTCTATAAGATCAGAATGGAAGATAATCTTACAGGCAGTCAGATTCAAAACATAGAGAATCCTTCTAGGCAAAACTTTAAGTGACAAAAAGACACAAAAACAGGAATACACATTTCCTCCAGCACAGCGAATTTCACAAGCCAAAACAAAGAAAACCTAACACATTTTCTAGCTAGATTACTTACTAACTTTACAGAAGCTGGAGGGCTTGCATCCTTGAACTGTTCCTGGCAAAGGTATCACAGAGACAGACAAAAGCCTTCCGCCCCCCTCCAAATTTGAAAGTATCTTGTCCCCTCATTGGTCATTTTGGGTGAGGTGCCAGCCAGGTTATCTGAGCTTCTTAACCCTTTACAGGTAAAAGGACTTTGCCTCTGGCCAGGAGGGATTTTATAGCACTGTATACAGAAAAGTGGTTACCTTCCCTTTATATTTATGACAGGCCCCACTGGTCATTTAGCAGGCTTCCTGCTTCTGATGTACTTAAAAAAAATCTGCTATTAATTTTTGAGTCTTTGTCTAGCTGTTCTTCAAATTCTTTTTTGGGCTTCCTAATTATATTTTTACACTTCATTTGCCAGAGTTATGCTCCTTTCTATTTTCCTCATTAGGATTTAACTTCCACTTTTTAAAGGATGCCTTTTGCCCTCTCAGTGCTTCTTTTACTTTGCTGTTTAGCCACGGTGGCACTTTTTTAGTTCTCTTACTATGTTTTTTAATTTGCTGTATACATTTAAGTTGAGCCTCTATTATGGTGTCTTTTAAAAAGTTTCCATGCTGCTTGCAGGGATTTTACTTTTGATGCTGTACCTTTTAATTTCTGTTTAACTAACCCCCTCATTTTTATGTAGTTCCCTTGTGATGGGTTCGGTCACAGAGATTCCCTTGGGACTGTCACCTGATATGCTGAAATGGCCCCAGAGCCAGTTTTCCCTGCTAGCTTTGGACTTCCAGAACCCTGCCTTTTTGAGCCAGACATGCTAACCTGCTGCAACACAGACCCAGAGTCTGGGCCATGACCCCAAAGCTGCAGGCTTTAAGTGAAAACAGCTCTGCAGTTACCTGACTCCAGTGTTAGGGGGCTTATTCCTTCACCCACTTACTTCCCTGGTCCTTCTCGCATGAACAGAGAGCAACAATACCCGAAGTCCAAAGGTGCAAACAATTCGATGTTTATTGGGGTGAACTTCCAGCAAGCATGATTCCAGTTTCCTTCCTTAGTATCCTCCTTCCCAGCTCTGACACCACAGAGCCTTACGCCTGTGTCCCTGTTCCCATTTCCCCCTTTAGCAAAACATGATTCCAACTTCCTTACTCCCATTCCCTGTTCCCATTTCCCCCTTTAGCAAAACATGATTCCAATTTTCTTACCCCCATTCCCTGTTCCCATCTCACACACCCACATGCCCACCCCCACCCACACCCCGTCACTTCCTCATTGACTACAGATTATATAGTAAAACTTGAGTTCTGCTTAGCTATACCTTAACCAATCATTTTCCTGAAATTTAACTAACCAATCCTAACATATTGTAACATGATTATGTAACCAATTATATCCCACCACCTCAATTAGTTTACACCCAGCAAAATTAATTATACAGCAGACAGGAACAATCACAGAACCAGACAGAGATTATACAGACAAACAACAGCAAAGTGGGAACTATAATGACAAAACAATACAGAAGTGAGGATTTCACATCCCAGCTATTGATAAGTGAGTTCTTGCCAGACAGGATGCTATCAAACTAAGTTTCCTTTTACATTTTCTAGGCACTTCCCTTCCTCTGGAGGTGATAGGAATACAATCCTGTCCTGATAGTGCCTAACAGCCCAATAGCACCTTATTTCAATGTGACTAGTTTGGAATGTGAGGATGTGACCGTTCGCTTCCCAGCTTATGGCTGCCTCTGCTGCTTAGCCAAAGGCCTGAGCCTAAGCACAGGGCCACAAACTGTCACAGTAAGAGAAGGCCCTTACACTGGCAGACAGTGGTTTTGATTCTTTCTTTCTTTTATACCTCTATCACTAG